TGTATATTATGTCGAAAAAGGATTGCAACACTTATTTAGTCGTCACAAAACCGATTGGGGATTCAATCAAGATGATAACTGGAATAGTCAAAATCGAGAAAAACTTCTAGAAACCCTTCAAGAATTCACTAATAGAAATGCAAATGGTGTTAATGTTTACCTTGGAACGTATAAAAATCAAAATGCGTACCTTGTAATTGATCACACGTCGTACCGATGTCTTATAGTTTATCGTGGAGGGGAGAAAGATTATTTCTTATGGTCCGGATGGGTACTCGGCGAAAATCAATACAAATCTATTACAAAACCACCATACAAATTAAATGCAACAATACTTTTAGTATACGAAGAAATACTCGAACAAATTGCCAATTCTGAAGGTGAAAGAGATGATTTAATTCTACAATATTTAGGAATCTTCCATGATGATAAAAATTTCTATGAAGAAAAAGTATATGATAAATTTGCAGAATTTTTTGGTCTTGCCGAAAGTTATATTCCATTGTCATTCGATGGAAGGGATGAAATTACTCCTGAAGACAATTACGAACTTGATTTTGAAAAAATTAGGAAAAAGGCAGGAACAATTCTGGGAGAACTGGAAAAGGTTACACTTTAAGGAGTAAATTTTAAATAAATTATATCAAAGATCCGGCAATTTTATTATATAAAATTAAGACTCATTTGTCCTGTGAATTCTCGAAATTATTCCTTTTCAAATAAAATTTTCCCTTCTTATTTTTGTGTGTAAATTGTATTGAAAAGATATAAAAAGATATTAAAATATCAAATACCGTTATTTGACTCAATTTGGATAAGCATTATACTATTCGTCATTGTTATAAATGCAACAACGCGAAGATTAACAAATGATCAAATTCAAGATTATTTTCATGTGTCTTCGGAAACTATCACTAGCACCGAAAATTCGGGTCCGCAAAATATTACCTATGATGTCTCAACGTATTCTGACTATAAGTTGACCTCTTGATTAAGGAAATCTGTGATAGTAAACAATCCGAAGGTATTCAGTCATGTGAATATAAGATCCAGGATTGCATTAACATTTCTTTTTTCGAATCTCGTTATTACGTTAATTATGCCGCAGTATATACTATGCGCAGCAAACGTCATTTGAATCTAGAGGTTGGAACCGGTTAATTTTAACCGGTTAATTAACCGGTTAAATCGGTTAACATGATAACCGGTTAAAACAGATGAATTTAAAATCCGGCCGAAATTCAATTCCGGTCAGAATTAAGATTTTATGATTGCAAATTATTGTCTAACTCTGACCAAATTTATAGTACTGGCCAAAGTTAATTTTAACCGGTTAATTAACCGGTTATTAACCGGTTAAAGAATTTTCGACCGGTTCCAACCTCTATTTGAATCATTTAAATTGAAATCCGCAGTGTATCTCGCCATTTTAT